CTTCGTTGGTTCAAGAACTCTCCACTTTGTTCTCGAAAATTTGGTCGAAAGAGAAAGTTTCATCATTTTGGAGTAAATCGACAGTCATCCCCATCTTCAAAAAGGGCCTGCGCACAATCTGCTCCAACTACAGAGGAATAAGCTTAGTCCCCGTCGTTTACAAGCTGCTGGTGTCCATCATACTTCGCAGGCTATCCCCAACGCGCGAATCGTTGCAACGAGAAGAGCAAGCTGGGTTTCGTCCTGGTCGCGGCTGCATCGATCAAATCTCCGCCAGATCCTCGAGCTCCGTCATGCGTATCAGAGGCCAACGATTGCTGTGTTTCTGGATATTCGTGCAGCCTTCGCTTCTGTCGATCGTACAGTACTGTGGCACTGCCTACTGAGGAATGGTGTCCCCGAGAAATTCTCCATACTGCGCGCTCTATATAGTCTGACGTCGTGCAGGGTTAGGGCTTATGGCAAGCTTTCGCCTACCTTTGTGGTCTCCAGTGGAGTTCGACAAGGATGTCCTATCTCTCCGTTCCTATTCAACTTTGCTATTGAGGATGTCCTGAAGAATGCTCTGAGCGATTCGTTAAACGCTGGTGTTGAGCTCTTCCCAGGTAGTCGAGTTGTTGATTTGGATTATGCTGATGATATCGTCTTGCTGGGTGACGATCCACACGTCATCTAACTTGCACTAAACCGCTTGACGATTGAAGCATCACAGTATGATATGTGCTTTTCGCCATCCAAATGCAAGGCTCTCTTCCAAGACTGGCAGGTGCCTCTGCCTGCACTCACTTGGTGGCGAGACATTAGAGGTTGTGGAGAGTTTTGTCTACTTAGGAAGTTGCATCACTACTGGCGGGGCTGTTGGAGACGAGACTTCGATGCGCATCTCGAGAGCTTAGGCACTTGTGGCGTCGCCACGACATTCGTCTCTCCATCTGAGCGCAGGTCTATTGTGCAACCGTTCTTGCTGTACTGTTGTACGGATGCGAGACTTGGCCAATTCGTAATGATGGCTTGCACAGGCTATGCATCTTCGAGCACCGCGGTCTGCGGTCCATTGCCCGTGTGTGGTGGCAGCACCACATAAGCAATGTGGAAGTTAGACAGCGTGTCTTGGGACGTGGAAGCCACTCGCTCGAGGATCTCGTCTCACTGCATCAACTGCCGGGATTGGGACACGTATTGCATATGCCTGTCCAGCGTTACCCGCGTCGTGCGTTGTTTACGGTTGCTGGACAGGGCTGGAGGACAGTCTACAACATGGACAGCCTACAGCATGGAGAAGCCGCATGAAAAAGCTGACGAAACTGTTGGCCTCGGCCGGTTGTTGTTGACTAATTGGTTGAGGTCCGAGAGATGCGAATACTTGCTGATTGAAGACCTTGGAAGCCATGGCTCAAGATCGATGTCAGTGGCGAACGTGTGCGTTGGTGTGTTGCGGCGTCCTTTCTTCCTCCCCCTAGAAAATGAACAAACTGAAAAATAGATTTCAAAAACTGTGAGTGGTAAACTAGATAAAAAATGCCTCTGTTATTGTTGCTCTTTTCTTATTATTCATACTTTTTTCCTATTCAGCCATGTTTCCGATGGCACAAAATCTGTACCACAGATTGTGTATTTTATATATATATATATATATATATATATATATATATATATATATATGGTTGGCGGCATCCGGTTTCGGATTTGCCTCTCACTGTGGCAAGCCACAGGACGCCTGCGCCTACAGAGGGACCATGGGTGGCTTGCGCTGCACCACCTACAGCTCCAACCACATACCCCATATCCAGTGTAAACCCGAAGGAATAAGACCGGGAGGCATGCGGATGGGAACCACGTTTCATCAACGGAGCCGGCCCACACTCCTTCAGAGGCAAACACAAGCACGCTGTATTTGGGGAATCAAGCGCACACAAGGCGGTGGCTGGACCGTAGTCCGCTCCACACTGAGTGCATGGAACCGCTCTTTGAGCCTAGCACGGCCACAAGAACCGTGCACCCCGTCCCCTCCAGCAACGACCAACTGTCTCCTGGAGCCAGTATGAACGATGTAGTGGGTAATAGACAGGTAGGCACCTTGTCAACATGCACATCAAGCGCAGCCATACCGGGGATATCAAACAACAGCCATTCACTTTAAACGACAAGTTGAAATAAAATAAATCCAACAATGCATACAGATACGGTGGCATAACTCTTCGCTAATTTACCATATGAAGTAAGTGCGTTAACAACAAATCCGTGATAAGCAGGAAATGTCCACAAGTTACTTAAAAATGCTACAAAACGCAACAAAATTACCGAAGATAAGCGCAATTAGTGTAAGCAACGTGGCCAGTTAATGGAACATTATTCAGGGAGGCAGAACAAACCAAATAAAGCGGAATGAAATTTATCCAGCATAAAAAGACCTAGTTTAAGTGTAAGTTGGTTTAGCCCAACTGCGGTGAAGAAGCATCAAGAATGCAACAGTTCCCTTGAATCCCGTGAGGAATTTCTGAGTACACTTCGTCTACATTTTTCTGGGGGTAACTGGGCGCTTCCACAATGGTTTCTAGTATCTTCCGTCTCCGTGTCTGCAGCCAAGACAGTTATAAGGATTGTAAGTGATCTATTGGTATACTTCTTTGCTAGGCCCCACTCTCAACACCAACACCTCATCTGGCCAAGTAAACTCCTTTTTATGTTCCACTTTAATGGTCCGGAATTTGGATAGTATGATCGGTGTTTATGGTATGAACACTCAAGCAGCTCTCGTTGTTCACGTTTAGTTCAATCGTTGAATCCCCCCTGCCTCTGATTCCTTTATTTTAGCTCCACCTCATTCAGTTCATGGTTACATTGCAACAGCCGCATTGCATCGTACCACCTTGCTGCACTAACAATGATTTTTCGGATATAGAGGGTTTTTGCTTCTCATGAATCGTTCGTGTGTACTCCCGTGGTTGTCGCTGTACAATCTGCATCTTTTCGACAGTCATTAGGTTACGTCAGTCTGGACGGTTTGGCCTGACGGCCGCCTTTTTGTGATTTAGTAGATCGACTCGATTGATGCACGCACGACCCGATGCAGTGTAGAAAGTTTATGATGTGGCCCGTTTATCGTTAGTACGGCTATTTATCGAGCGTCGGATTGAGGTGCCTTGTTCAAATCAAAGTCCATCATTACAAGTCAGTTTCGTCGCCGTTTTTGTCCTCACCACTCCCTAAGGAAATAATGGTTCTGGAATATTCAGTGATTCGGCTCATCCCATCACTACCAACCCGGTTGTATGCTGTTGGGATTGGCTCCACTTTTCTTACGCCGTACTTGGCGTATCGACTGATTAGCTACTGGTTCCGCCTCTCTCTCACTACCTCGGTGTTTACGGTGCATTTTGTTCATTTCTGTCCCACTTCCTACCTTTCATTAAATCTACCAACAGCAGCACTTCGAATATCGCCATCGGTCCAATCCTTCCTAGTCATTTTTTCATGGCATCTATCTGTTTGTACGCAGGAGCTGACGGGCACACATCAAACGCGGATCGCATTAACATTTGCCTTCCTAACGCCTTATTTTACAATTCATTCAATTTAGTTGGTTAGGCTCTATGTCCTTGTGGTCACGAATTCAATCATCGACCACTACATCTGGGGTTCCACTCCCGGTTGGCAATTTCTGTCTGAAGAGCCAAGACGACTACGTAACCTGTGGTGGATTGCAACGCCGAAACTACGCATACCCGGAGAATAATTCTTTAGATTATGGTTTGTGTTTTGTTTCTCTTTGTCATGTGATGGTCATTCATCAGCGTATATTGACACGTTCACTGATCCTCCAAGTAGGATGACGTGACTGATAGCTGTCGTTGAGGCGTACTTAGGGATTCTAAATATGCCTATCTACTGGCAACGGGACACCCATTTATGGCTACTGTCCAACGATAAAGCTGATGCGTTGTACTGTTCGCATAATTCTCATGAGATCAGTGGTCAAGTTGAGCTCCAGTTCGACCATCTTATCAAATGCGTCCTACTGCTATCCGTATTGCGCTTTGTGTCTTCACCTTGATTGCATTGAACGGAATTGGTGTAGTTACGTTAATATTAAATACACGTGACTCTTCACTTCACTCTGACCCCGAACTTTTTCATCTGTTGAACTTGCATTTTCTGAATGGAACTCTAAACTAGAATGGATCACACTTATCTTCACCTGGTCCCTCATTTGTTTTAACCTAGCCGTCTGGGTACTCCGTGCATGTAATCATTGTGCGACCTACGTTTCAATTATCAACTCCGCTGTTTGTATCTGTCACCCAACGTTTGTCTATGGAATTGAATTACCGCAAACATCACTCAACACGGGCTTCAACATTTCTGAAACCACCTAAATATTCTCAAGCTTCTCCCAATATGTATGGCTTATTCTTCAGAAAACACATACCTTTGTCAAATCTCTTTAAAGTGAAACATAAAAAATTGTTGTTCACATTACTTTTCGATCAGGGACATACCACGAGGATATTGGCATAACCCTGTTAGTCACACTACTTCTCCCCACTTTCATCGTTGCTCCCTGTCGTCCGCGGAGTGGTTGTACTTTTTACATTACCTATCTGTCTCCCCACTCAGTATCCCCCATCTAAGAATTCGAATTCTCCCTTTGCTTTTTGCACTCGAGTCATATTTGATGAATAGTTTTCTGCTCCCTTTTGAAGCGAGCATCGCAAATATTTTGCGATAGCTGCATTGGCCTCTTGTTGTACTTCCAACCTAATCGAACCGCACGGTAAGTGGTACCGCGGCTCGCGGTGCCCCAGTGGGCACCGACGGCCGCTTCGCCATACCTCATTAAGAACGAACATTTCTCTGCCCTCTCGTTGCTCTTCTATCGATGTCATCAATGTCCTCCGCTTTTCATAAGCCTTGCCCGTAATTCTCACTCTTCTGTTTAGTACGTTAACCAGGGTGTACCGACAGCTGGTTTTGCCTAAGTCCTATTTCCCATCTTTTAGGAGAAGGAGGCGCTGGTCACGTAATTGACCGAAACTCCCTCAGCGTAGAAGAACAGAAGAAATATGATCAAGGTTGGCAGGATAATGCGTTTAACCAATACGCCAGCGATCAAATCAGCGTTCGCAGATACTTGCCTGACTACCGAGAGGGCACGTAAGTACTCAGTAGACTCCTTTTCCTTTTGATTGGTCGGCGGGTGGCCGAGTGGTTTGAGCGTCTGGTCAGCGGTTCGAATCCGCGTAGGGATGGGCATCCTCGCGGTATACTCAGGTCGCTCGCGACTGTTGGTGGTCGCGTGGCAGCGAAGCGCCGCTACTGTTTTTATCTGACACAATCATTATTTTTTCCTTTTGATCGCTGTGACCTCTATTGTTGATCATCATAACTCGCTTTCTAGTGTTTCCGTGTATTCCGTAAGAGTGCATGCGAGGACATTACTTTATCGTACATTCTACGCTCAAACAAACTGGTTTGATTGCACATTTGGGTTGCTATTATATGTTTAATGCTTCAATCGGGTAGCCTTTCTTCAACCTCGACTGTCTCTCTTCTACTTATGCCTTCACGATATGTCATTTTAACGTGGGGTTTCAAACACACTCGGCCTTCCGTTATCCATCTCTGGATTTGCTCGAGGCTCAGTATTTACCGCCAGGCTATTTACTACTATTACGCAGCGAAACTGCCACTTCGATTGATGCTGTTGAAGCGCCCGCTAACATAACTACCAGGCTTAGAGAACCAATCGACATTGCAGCGACAAGCTTGTCAACAAGCGGTTTCTGCCTATTTGACGATCGACCACTGGCACTCAGCATCTGCAGCTCAGAGGGATGCTCATGTAAGTGAAGCACAGCCAAGTGAACAGTGCAGAGACCACCAGGTTAATTTCCGGGTTTCTACGCAAGTGGGCACTATCTTGCAACACAAAGTACGCCTTTTGGTGGCAAATTTCGTCTTGATCGTACATTCAGCCATTCACACAGCTGCACCAACTTGTTCTCTCTCTCTCTCTCTCTCTCTCTGTATGTGTGTGTGTGTGATCTCAGCTGTTAAGTATGTCCTAATCCTGTTTCAATGTGTGAACATTCTAAGTGGATGAATAAATAACTACTTTACTCCCCAAGTGCATGAAACATGCCTAGACAGACACGACTAGCTAATTACTGGATTTTTCTTGAGGATAGAATTTCGCGTATATGTCAACTGGTCAGATAATATGGTGATAAATAATACTAATGTGTGGGTGCTCAGATTGAACAGGTTCGGTGAAGCCTACTTAAAGTGGTCGGGAAATATTTACAGTAGAAAAGTAAGATTAGCGCAGCACGATCGTGGGATCAAGAACGTACTTGAAAAAAGGACTGAATTGCCCGCAATCAATTAGGCGTCGTAGCAACAAATTCATCGACTGGATTGGTGTCTCGTTTACAATGAAACATGCGGTGGAGCGGGGAAAATTAATATGCTAATAGCAGGCCTGTCACAGACAGGGTATGCTAATCTTTCCACATGTAGCAGAGTAGGGAAAGTTTCAGCTCGCTGGAGTGTGGATAATAAGTTTTGATTTTCCGACTGAAGGACCTGCATGGTGTCATCGGGGTAACTCCTGGGAAATAGTATGTTAAAGTGTTTTGTGACAATGAGTAGAACCGAGTCCAATTGTTCAGACCACAAAGAAGGATAAGAATTCTATCCAAGATAGCATTGCTAATCCACCGGGTAAGGAAAGTGCTAATACCGACAAGAAAGTCTTTCATTCACAGCCAACTTGATGATCCGTAACGTAATAGTGAAAATGGCAAGTGTTAATCTTCCGGTTACGTACCGAAATCCTGTGTTATATCAACGGGTGGTTCCAAGTAAGCAACATGTGTGTGTTATTGCAGTAAGAAGAGGCGAACCCAATCGTTCAAGCCTCAAAGAGGAGAAGTGGTATTGTCTGAGATGGAAAATTTGTAATCTTACCGATGCGCTAAATTGTAACAATAGTAAGATACTCTGCTATTCAAAGGGCGTTGAAAGATCCATGGGCTTCGAAAGCGCAAGAGTTTGATTTGATGGCAAAAGTTGACTTTTGGATCAACCGGTTTGTCAGCACGACCTCTGTTTAAGTATCTTGTGAGGGCAGCGAACGAAGAAAAAGCAGAGATGCATTGGATACGTGCTTAAAAAATTGAATGCCTGATGCTTGAAACAATACTGATGATTCGCCATATTTTCTATGAGTTTGCTTACCACCTATATTAGATAAATGTACTTTTACGTAGCGCCTCATATCAGGAACATTCTTTACAAGATCTACATTACAGAAGGCTCTAGGAGCACGGCTGATGGATAATTACCCTACAATGTGCTCCTTATATATCTAGCGAGAGTAGTGGGCGGTGGAATGATGCAGGGATCATGATCACCATTGCGACAAAGCTATATAAGGATCATGTGATCTACAGAGAAAATTGAGAGGCAAATGGGCAAATAGACCATTAAGCGAAGGTTTAGACCCTATGAAACCTAAGGAAAAGTGGCATAAACGCTGTGTCGAGTTGTTGAGTTGTTTTGGTCCTAGACCGGGCCTTTAAGTCATTAATCGAAGCTGGCGGAATGAGACGCAGGGATGAAGATAGGTAAAGAAACCCAGAAGATCGGTATCCATGTATCTCTAAGCTAGCAATAGGTATATATGTAGTGAGTCCATGTTAGATTAGAAGCGGTCTGAAGCTCGTTCCCATAACTCATCTTCAGACTAGTCTTGGCCAAGAAATTCTCAAATAGGGATTTTCATGAGAAATCTCCGTAAAGTAGTGCGAAACATTGCAGCTGTTGAGATCGATCTGATTCTTATTGGTAACCTCTTCAATGCGAATCTCTGCCTGTAGAGGAAGTAACTAGAGCTGATGCTAATACGGGGCTTTGGCAAGCTAATCGAATGCGGTGTGGTTTGTACTTTCTCATTCTCGTTCCACCAAGCAAGGAACTCCGTATTCACACTAGGGTTGTTCAGCATATGGGAGGGAAAACAAGGTTGAGTCTGTGGATCTCGCTAGAGCGGTTTACATCTACCACAATAGTTAAATGTAGCTACTTCCAGTAGGCGCTGAGTAAATGAGCGTTGCATTCTCTCCATTGTTATTCTGTCACTTTTCTTCGAGTTAGTTTTCCCGGATCGGTTGAACACAAAACTTATACGGGGCAATTCTAGATTCCATTTATTTGCCAATGTTGCCGATGGCTGATCTGGCCTTAGCTATGCTACATCCATCGTGTTCGGCGAAGTTCAATGAACCAGAACAATGTACTCAGGTACTGTAAGGCAATTGGCTAGTGGTTCTCCGCTTATTGTCAGCGCATTGATGGGAAGACTACAGCGGTAGGAATTGGCGTTGCTTTTGCGTGCGGAACTTCCATTTTCCAACGGTCTCACCACCAGTCTGAAGCCTTAAGATCGTTCTGTATATGACACAATCCAGTGTCTATACCATTAGCATCAAGGGAGAAGACAATTTTGATATCATATGCGAATAAAAATGACCTTCTGAGGATGAAGCAATTCAGTACATCCTCGGCACACAGTATGAACAGCAGCGGAGCTAGAACGTCACCATGAAAAACGCCGCTACTTACAGGCCTGTGCCTCGATTCCGCACTGCCCACTCTTACCGATTCTGTTCGCTGTGTCAGGTATAATGGGAACCAAGACAGCAGCTGATACGATGTACCGAACTTAATCAATAGACTAACTTATAGTACACCGTCGAAAACTTTATTCATACTGAAGAATACCATAACAAACGCATAACTTGAGTCCATTTCTCGAGTTACAAGATCGAAAAGCTCAAATTGGCATGTTTAGCAGGACCTAGCCGGTAAAATGCCATGCTGCGACTTCTTGCTAAGGCTGCGTTGGAGCCGAAAGTTATGCCTTTGCTCTATACTTCTTTCCATAACCCTTGACGCTATAGGTGTGTAGTTGGTTGGGCGGTGGTTGTCCGTGTTCTGGTAACAGCTACTTTTGTATCTTACGAGAACAACTGCATGCTTCTTGGTGGCAGGTAAGGTACTGCTTCACATTGATAGCGTGGGATGTCTGAACCCCGTACTATCCAAAGCACGGAAGGTATGTCATCCGGCCCGGGACAGAATGACGACTCAAGGGAACTGATCGTCCTTTCGATAGTGTGCAGATCAAAGTCAATGCTGGATTTCTCATCTTCTGTACGTCTGTGTATGTGAATTTGCATAGTCGCACGGATCTATTTGGTCAGTAACCACTATTTTGTCTTGCAGCATTAGTGAGGCTATTATGTAACATCACTAATACTTCAGTGTTTCATTAAAGCAGTAAGTGCTTTAGACTGATTTGCGTTTCTGATTGCAATTTGCTCTTTTACTAACTTTGCCGAAGACCGCGAGCTTCTCCACTCTATTATGAGTTCATTGATGCGTATGAAAGGTTGGAAATTCTTAGTCTTATCACGCTTAGATCTCATTTCGCCTCGACTGCTTTTTCGAGCAAACTGTTCCAACATTTCGCCACTTGCTGATCGAAGCATAGGGAGTGAGCTATCCGCTTTAGGTCCGGTTCCACAAACTTGTGCCGGTGTCCGCGAGTTCAGCTTGATGGGCACGAGAAAGTTATCCAGCTGTAATATCCAGTGCGTCAAAGTGAGTTCAACTCGAAACCAAAGATTCGACTGGGTGTACAGCCCCAGACGATAGGCCGGCGGGCCGTACTGGAGCATCGGTCTTACGATGGAAGAGAAGTGGCGCGGGGAAATTGCTTCAGACCAAATGCAGAAGCTGCGTTTGAGCGCGCAGAGCATGCGCAGTCCGTTTCGATACATACAATTTTCACTAAGCTGGACGTTTTGCAAACCACATTGGACTTTTTGCAAACTACATTGAATGTTTTTCAAATCACCTTGGACGTTTTACATAACAAACCGGGTACATTGTTTTCTAAGCAAAAAATCAGTAAATTGTTAACAAGCAATGAAGAGTGAGGGGACTGGACGATGTTCATACCACATTGTAGTCGTGCCAGTGCAGCCGAATTGTGCAGGCCTTAGATGCCACTGCAAACTTTTCTCTTGATCGTGGAGCCCAATCACCTCGACCAAAAGCGGTGAATATTTTTTCCATCTCACCCCATC